TCCAGATTTCAGGAAGCAGATTGCCAGGCTTGTATTCCGAAGCACCACTGGCGGGATCTGATGGCCAACCTTTCAGCTAGTGGTCAACTGCTCTTCTCTTTGTGCCACTTGAAAGCTGATCATGGATATTGCTGAGAATCAGGAGGCCCATAATGGTCTAGCGGCATGGTCTTCGATATGTTCTGGGAATTGTGTAGCCCTGCTAATGCTGCCTAATGTGCAATGGAGGCTGGTCAAGTTTTGATCAATTTGGGAAAATTTGTCATTGCTGAGGAGGGGGCTAGCCAGAGAGACAACCCTCAGTCATTTCACATCTCCCTGCTAGAGCTTGGGGTCCCTTATCTTCATCAGGGCTTGCAAACAAGGATTCATAGAATCATGTTATGAAAAGATAGACTGTGCATTTGTATAAAGGCATCTACTGTATTGCAATGAAGCAATGCACACACTGTGGTTTTGTACCACCAGCAAAGTAAATAAAATGCTGTTCTGTTGCCTTCAGTTTGAAGGTGTTTCCCATAGAGGCACAACCGTGGTGTGTCATTAAGAGACCTCAACTTTAGTGCCCAATTAATAGCGACGGCTATTAATAATAGCGCAAAATTATATTATGAATCAGGCCAAGCAACTCAACATCCAGGGCACAAACAAATGGACCCAAACTATTTAATGTTCTGTTTCTACAAATGGGGTCCTCATGTTTCTCGCATCAGAATACTGTATGGTGCCAGCTCTCATCTCTCCTTTTTCTCTCCAACCTCCAAGACCAGATGAGTCTGAATCTTGTGAGACGACACATACAAATCAACATTTTAAACAAGCTCCCAACCAAGCTCGAGGACCACGGAGTGTGTGCTGCGGCTGAGCCTGTTGAAGATTTGTTTATAGTTCTCAGCTTTCTTCTGCCAGGGGGCAGTGTTCACTGAGACAAAGCTGGATTAAGAAACCATGCTGCATGTCAATTTCTTCAGTCTCTTGTGCAGTTTCCTTCTAAAAAACGTTTACATCTGATTTCAGTGAAATTTTACTGAAGAAATTGGGTTTCTGTGCAAGAATTCATGCACATTTTGGTTCATGAACTTGATCCCAATTTCCACAGTGCGACAACCCCTTTCTGGTCTCCTCTCTTTGTTCCCATTTCCACTCTTTCTTCTCCCCTATCCCTCCCTGTCTTCTAAACTTTTCCCCTGGGCAAATGCTGTCCTTCTAATCTCCAGGAACTGATTGTTCTCAGGAGCAGTGTACCTCTCTGGTAAACCTTTTTTTTGGGGGCTGAAAGTTGAACCAAGTGGGTGAGTTCGGTTCCAAGGTTAAAGGTTGTCTGAAGGCCATGATCTTGGGGGCTCCATCAGTCCCTATCAGACCCCTAAGCATGGCCTTTTTTGTACATGGAGTTTTGTCCCACATTTTCTCCCCTACCACTCTATCCGTGACCTTCCAAATCAATCCTTTTCAGAGTGGTCGGCCACAGTATCTGGGCACCACCTAGTTCTTCTGGTCTCAGGATCACGGAGGGTGGAGTTCACGCAATCTGTTAGTCCTTTAGACCAACTGCTTCGGTAGGCCTTTGATTGCCTCACCCTTCTCTGCTCCAGACAGGAGAGACCTTAGCTTGCTGCTCACTAGCTTTTAAGAGGTCAGTCACAACTCACCGAGGTTGGGTGTAGAGCATTGTTTTTGTGGACATTATTATGCCAATTGGTCTTGAGGTCCCCTGGCATTATGGTCCTGAGCTGGCAGCCTCATGGAATTAACTCCTTCAAGGTCTTTGGGTATGGCTAAGTGGTTTTCATCATTTTGCCCTTTGTTTGATCTGCATAAATATCCTCTGATGTAGAAATATTCATTGTCAAACACCTCATACAGTTTCTTGTTTAATAACCCAGCTACACAGGGCCTTCTATTAAACTCTTAAACACTATCGCAGGTGAACTTGCTTGTTAATTTAATCATAGAAGGTTTTGGACTGCATTTCAGCCCTTCTCGTCCTCTTCTTTTTCCTTCCTTTCTTTCTGTGGTACAGCTATATGTAATAAGACATTTGTCATTTCAACATTGTCTATTTGTACAGTTCAGTGACATTCATTCTTCTCCTCAGGTTGTGTATTCCTCTCATTCGTACTTGAGTTTCTAGACCGATTGTCAACCCCAGGGGACTTCTTGGTTTCCGCAGGTCTACACACTGTGGTTGTTTGCCTTCAAACTTATATTCCCACTTACATCGACCCGATGTGACGAAGGAGAACTGCTCATAGAGTCTTCTGGGCCGTGTCTCCTTATGGGAGCAGATCGCCAGGGCTTTTCCACCAGTGGGTTTTAACTGCTGAACGTTTAGTTAGCAGCCACATGCTTGTAAACCCCGTCTGTCCAGTGCTCCTTCAGCTCTACATAATTAGGGGTAAGCCTGTTTTGTAAAGGGGCTCTAGTGCCACTGTTGGGTAAGCATTGGATTGCTAATACCAAGGTTGGCCGGTCAAACCCACCAGTGTCTCAGTGGGAGAAAGACGAGCCTGTCTGCTCCCAGAATGATTTGCAACCTTGGGAACCCATAATAGGGTGGCTATGAGTCAGAATGACCTCATGGCAGTGGATGCTTTATTAGGAACCCTGGTGGCACCATGGGTTAAGAATTGGGCTGCTAACCACAAAGTCAGTGGCTCAAATCCACTAGCCAATCCATGGAAGAAAAATGAAGTTGCTTGTTCCCATAAAGATTTATAGCCTGGAAACCGTAGGGAGCATTTCTGCTCTGTCCTATAGTGTTGCTATGAGTTGGAATCCACTCAATGGCAGCTTTTCTGGTAGTTTATAGTTTATTTAATGCCCAGGTTCAAGACTTCAGTCAATCTCTTGACAGTTAGTGTATGATATCTTGTAGCAACATTCTGCATAAGCCTGACTGTGCTTAGATGGGATGTGTGGAACAAGCTCCTTATGCATAATGACCTGGAAGAGCACAAGTGTTTGGCAGTCCAGTTAACATAAACAGCGACTGAATTCAATCTTCCAAGATAATGGAGAACATGTATTGTTCAACAGTCAATTGTGGATCAATATGGCGATTACATTTAAGGGCCCATCTCCCAACCCCACCCCCCCACACACACCTAATATGGATAGTGTTCAGCTTCTGAGCTCCTATTTTGCCTTGTTTTTCTCAAGAGAAGCTTCTGTGTTCTCCAGCGGGGTTTCTAAGATCAAATCTCTGAATCTGACTTAGTTGGGCGCTGAGGGAGGGGGAGGGGAAGAGATGAGGGTTGGGGAGAAAGAAAAACCGGCTTTCCTGCCCCTTTGAGGCACTGTGACCTCAAAAGACACCAGAAAGTGCCCTTGATACTGTGCTCTCTGGGTTTGTATTTTTCCTCTCTACAATGGTAGACCTGCCTCTTGAAATACTACAGAAATAGTAGAAATATCTTCCACGGAGTTAACATCTTTTATAAGCCTCGCCAAACACCCAACTCCAAATCATTTCAGTATGGCCTACAGACTTCAGCAAGAGACTTCTGTCTTAGCTGAAAAAGAAAAAAAGCAAAGAAACCCAGCAAGCCGGCCAGGCTGGAAGAGTGTAGCACTAACAGGCTTTTAGAACAGGGACTTCGTATTGGCCTGTGTGTTTCCTTTCTTCAATTAGCTGTTACTAAACTCTAGAATCCATAATGAAAGCCAGGCCTACTGTGCAATCCACTGTAAACAAACACTTTTTGTGCTGCGGCATTCTGAGAGGAGCTGCTGCTTGCTGCCTTAGTGATTTGTTGCATCCTGTATGTTTATGCACACACACACACACACACACACACACACACACACACACACACCCTGTGGTTAAGAAAGGGGGCCACTAGGCCTTTGAGGGGAGGGAGACCACAA